GTAGAAAACCCAAGAAACACACATTTCTAGCATCTTAATACATTTTTGAGCTAAAAACTTACTTTTTTTCAGTAAAACTCGCTTATTAGGCAAGATTTTGATAAAAATAGCCTGAAAATACACTTACTTACCATTAATTTTATTAATAATTAGGTAACTTTGAGGACATAGGCATATATGAATTGCTTTTTTTATAGGTAAACTAATTTTTGATGATAATAATAATAAAAAAGATAACGTTGTGTTTTTTTGAAATCATAAGAAGTATTGTGTTAGCTCATTAAACAACTAATATTTTTAATATAATTCACTTTTGTTTCTTCTTTTGTGTTTTACCGTTTTTTTGTGTTTTCCTTTTTTTTTCCTTTTTCTGTTATTTTTGTAGCACAATTGAAGCTAAAATACTCAGAAGAAATAGCTTTAAAAGTTTTGTTTTATTTTTTTAATACAAAAGTATCAGATAAAAACAGTGATTTAGAGACAAAAACTAATGAATAAAACAAATTGTAATTAGTTGTCTGGACTCAAAAAATCTTAATTTTTACTGGATTTTTTCAGAAATTTCTGGAGTTTCAGAGCTGGCTCATGTTAGTATTACAAAAATAAAATATTTTTTTATAATTTATAGAAACTTTTGTGCTATTTTTTATTTTATTTTTTTTATTATCTATTTTTAGTTATTATTGACTTCCTGACGTTTAAAAACCATTGATGTTTTAAGAATTTTTAATATTTGAGAGGCTTTTAAGGCAATTGAGTAGTTTTATATCTTTTTTTAATATTTGATAGAGAGCTACGTACTCTCAAAAAACTCAGATGGTTAAACCATTTCTTCTGAGCATGCAAATGGTTATGCAAACCGTGATATAATCCATTTATTTCCGTTAGAAATATATTTTTTCCGTTTCAACGTTATGAATTAAARAGCACCTGTGAAATCTCAATCGAAAGCCCGTGTTTGGGACCTTTCGCGTCCATATAAAGCAGTACGGGTTTGAAAAGAGCGACGAATCCGTAAAAATTTCACAACACAGCGAACCGTATCACACACGTCGTTGTATATCTSCGATCTGTAACAGTTTCAGGTTTCAGTTTCGTTTACATAAGAGTGCAATTAGGAAAAGGAGGCGATTTCGATCGAAAAATTTATGTGACAACATTATCGCAGGTACAAATTTCGGCTCTGTTGAACACAACCTCGACATGAAGATAAAGATGTATTATGTTGGGAATGAAGAAAAATAAGGTTATTTCCTCGATTAACGGAAGCAGAGCAATGCGTCATGGCGAGGCGACGTGTGACCTTTCTTGGAGTGAAACCGATTCTGGATTCTGGTGGTGTGTTATGAAAGACGCGTTTTGTAACGTGGATGGAATCCAAAACTAACWCGAATTGAGATAAATCAAATGGAAACTTTGGAAGGATCTTCAGGGCTGAATCTTCACAAAATATCATCGGGATTTAAGTGCTTTCAACACGCAAATTGTGTAACGATGTTATTATTACTTTCTTGATTAGTTCTTTGAAAAAAAAGAAAGGAAAAATCAGCTTCAGGATAAACATAATTAACAAAATGATTAATTGAATTAACAATCGGCGAAATTGCAAAATTGAGATGACTTAATTAGAAAATGAAATCATTCTCAGTTGCCACATATGACAATTTTTCAAATATTTTTTTTATTCCTTGACACAGTAACAATCAAAATCTGAAATTACATATAATTCTTGTGGTAACAAGAGTGCTAGCCTTGCCGCTTCCGGTGATTTAATCAAAAAAGAGGACATAATTTAGGCGAAATTAAATTAATCCGGTTAAGTGGTTTATTACTGTGTAAATGRTGGAAGAAAATTGTTTTGTTTTAWWTGTTCAACGAATTTTTAACTTTTGGTTTAAATTGACGATTTTCTTGCCTGAAAAACAAGCAAAATTGCTCGTAATTGTCTGAAAAACTGCAAAATGGCAGAAGTT